ATTATACAGTTTTAGCAATACGTCGTCCCTGAGATTGAATCTAGCGAGATTCGTTATTTTTTACAGAAGGTGAAAATCCGAGGAGCGAGACTCCCTCCTCGAGTACAGCAACGAACCAGACTACTACTAATACAACCGGTAATACGACACCGACAACGCAACCTACAAGCAACACGACGCCGATTACTACGACCACAGGTCCGGATGAAGAGGAGATCGAACCTCCAGCCATCGTTGTTTACTTTGTTGAACCTTTTTCGTTAGGCGGTACCGAGGATCCTGATCGACGGCGGCTTGCCATTCTAGCTTTACTCAGAGCTTATTCTTCTGCGATCAATAGCATGCCTGAAAATATGAGATCAAATATTCACGTTCAGGTAATAAATTTTAGGACAAGATCTTGATGAGGAATTAATAATTTTAAAACTCAGCTGATCGGTAGTTTAAATTGTGTTTTTATGGCATTGTAACAATTTGCTTTTAGATAATCTCTTTAGAAAGCATAATGGAATTGGGTCGAGCTCGAGAAAGGCGAAAGATTCAAGATGAGATGAGAGCCTTGGCGTTGAATGTTTTCTTACAAGGGCGTCGATTATTAAATCATAATTCTACAGTGAAAAGCCTTACCGGTTTCGGTACTGCCGCCGCTGCAGACATCTTCCTCAAAAGTAAAGATGTAAGGTTCTATTCTCTATTATAAATTAATTCTTACCATATGTGATTGAAGATTCCATTTATGCGCTGTGATATTATGCTGTGAATTAAAATCCATACTATATATAAATTATTTTCACTCATTTAGTAATATTCTTTGCATTAGGAACGAAATAGGGCACCTTATCGCCTGTACGCACCGGCCTTCGTATTAGCACCGCTGCGGGCAAAAAGCGAAGCTCCCGAATCATTTGGCATGCCGAGACCTGAAGAATGTGCGGTGCTCTATTTGAGTTACTGTTTGAGTGAGGATCAGTCTTGGCTATTGGCGGCAGCAACGGACGATAGGGGCGAAATTTTTGAGACCGCTACCATTAATATCGACATACCAAATAGAAAAAGAAGAAAGCGCGCTTCGGCTAGGCGTATTGGTCTTCAAAAGCTTATGGATTTTATACTGGGTGTAATGTCTCAAGGTGTAAGTAAAAATTTTACATTAAAATTTTTGTATTCAACATTGATAGAATAAATCAACAATATCTAATACAGAGAACATGAAAGCCAACGCACACAAAGTTTTATCGCAAAAACAATACATTTTTGCGAAAACAAATTAATTTTTCTCATCTAAAAAACATTTCGGCCTTTCATCTTCAGGATATCGTTAATAGTTTTAAATTATTATGATATCTATTATAAAGCATAAAAACTTGAAATATATATCACTTGCAAATGAAACTTATACGCAACATTAACATGTTAACAAGGAATTAACTGTAAAGCAATAGTATCGAATAGTTGATTATATTAGAAAGTAGGGCAAGCATTAAAGGAGGGGAGTTAGAATTAGAAACTTAAAGAAAGGAACAAATTGCTAAGGACAGGAAGATAATTATCAGGTAATCGATCAGTATCACTTTGTTTATTCAAACCATGGTATTATTTTTTTTATATGTATTCCAATATTATCTTATTAAAAAACGACTCAAACTGTATAAAATTGATATCCTTCCCCATTAACTTTTTAATGACGAAGAATACTTAATATTATAAATGACATGAAAATTCATACAAATTTAAATTCTCATTAGTAATTTTTATGCTCGTTGAAAACGTTTGTTCTTTATTATTAAATATTATTCATGTTATAAGTATTGTTTCTTATTTTTTTTGTGTATCGTTAAATTATTTTTGTTGCAGGTGCAACCATGGAGACTGGTCGTTGGTCGTGTAGGACGCATTGGACATGGCGAATTAAAAGGATGGAGCTGGTTACTTTCTAGGAAAGCGCTTTTGAAAGCTTCAAAGCATTTGAAAGAGATATGCGGACAGTGTAGTCTCTTATATCCCTCGGCGGCACCTTGCGTACTCAGTGCATGTTTAGTCTCACTCGAACCGGATTCTACTCTGAGATTAATGGCCGATCAATTCACTCCCGACGAAAGATTCAGTCAGGCATCTGTAAACTGCCAGTTATCCACACCTCAAGATGTCACATGTACTCATATACTTGTTTTTCCTACATCCGCTACCACTCAGGTAAGAAAGTTTAATTATATATACTTGAGTTTAATTATATGATTATTTAACGAATATAATTAGACTAAATCTTTGTTGTTTTAATATTTTAGTCGTCGCAGACCGCATTTCAAGAGCAACATAACGTCCCCGAGTTGGGAGACGACGAATTATTTTCTGCTCTAAACGATGACATGCCGGAAGGTATGGAAGGAATGGGTGACTTCAATGACATTTTCAATGTTTGGCCTGAGCCAGGCGCAGGCGGTGGACAAAGTCCAAGCGGAAGTCCACACCGTCCTGAAGGATCACCGCATGGAGGAGATGGCGGTGGATCAGGCTTGGGAAATCATGATGGGCCTGGCAGTCCATTTCCGTGCAGCAATACGCCAAGAGTAAGTTTAGTTTTTTTTTTTTTTTAAATTAAATCTGCGACTATATTGTATCCATGTAAAGTTACATGCAAATTTATGTTATTCGCAGATAGCGACGACTGAGCAAGCAGAAGAAGTTGGCACACTTTTACAACAACCGCTCGCTCTTGGTTACCTAGTATCAACTGCGCCAACGGGACGAATGCCACCATGGTTTTGGGCAGCTTGTCCACATCTCGAAAACGTTTGCCCGGTATTCCTGAAGAACGCGTTACACCTGCACAGTCCCGCAATACAACAGAACAGCGATGATTTACTTCAGCAACAAAACGCACCTACTGCTCATCCATTGGACTCGCAGTATACCACTGATGTGTTGAGGTTCGTATTTGCGATAATATTTATAATTTTTGCTTCCTAAACATTTATTGCGTGAAATTCATTATCGTGCGATTTACGTGATTGACAGGTACGTGTTGGAAGGGTACAACGCACTGTCGTGGCTTGCGCTGGATGCAAACACCAAGGACCGACTGTCCTGCTTACCAGTGCATGTACAGGCGCTCATGCATCTCTACCATGCGACGGCAGCTCTCGTCTGACCCACACCCTCTCCCGTTGTAGTGCAGTATATGCACCTCTCTCACGCACTCCTTATTGTACCGTCACTTGGGGCTTTACGAGAGCAACTAATTTCCTATGCCCTTTACCTATACTACATTAGTTAGGTACTTAGAGAGAAAGAGATTGTCTAGGTACAGAGTACGATCCTTCTCGACCATATGTAAAGAGAACCGAGCCTTTTTTTTACTCGGACTCTTAACTAATACACAAGTTAGCGCAATGAAAATGCAACGGCTGAAAATGCAGAACTCGATGAGAACGAACAGCGACTCTCTTTACCATTTTTCTATTATAACAGGCGAAATAGATTGTACTTTGTGTTTATGATCGTATCTCGTATTTCGTAAGGAAAAAAAATGAACTGCGCATCCAATACGACCATTGCCAGCGAAAGCAAATGTGAGACTTTGCGAATGGTAGAAGCGAAGATGCGAACGATGAAAGATACTGTGAGAAAGGAAGAAAGATAGGGCAGGAAAGAATGAGGATGAAAGAGAAGTATAGCGAGAAAAGTGCGAAAGAAATAGAGAAACTGCGTGAACGAACGAACGAACGAGCGAGTGAAAGAGAGCAAGAAAAGCTGAAAAAGAGAGTGCATAATAAGAAAATGATTTTCGATTGCCTCTCTATCGATAGATAGTTGAATTACAAATCAGAATCTCTAGAAAAATTACGTAACCAAAAGTTTTTAATTGTAAATTAAATTTTGTACAAAGCTTTTATTATTAATGACGACGAAGTAATATAAATGATATTACGTTGTTTTTTAATTTTATATAGATGATATAAAAAAAGAGAGGTGGACTTCTTTTTTATAAGCGATGCCTCGTATAAGCCCCTGGTGTGAGATAAGTATGACGATTATAATATTATATTATGCTCGCGCGGCACTGGGTCGCTGTTATCATGTTTCCTGGACCCGTTAGCGCAATTTTTCGATGCTGTTTGACAAATTTTATTCGAATTAGGTGACCTATATATTATACACATACATTATAGTGTAAAATATTGTTTTTAAATAATTTATGAAGTGAGACATCGCCGAGATTAGATAATTGAGAATGAAAGAGGGAAATAATCGCGAGAGTGAAAAAGAGAGAAAGCGAGAGAAAAGAGCAAGCGAGAGAATGAGAGAACAAGCCAGTTATGCAGAGAATTGTTTTCCTCCAATTTAACTTTGAATGCAAAAAAAAAGAAGAAAAGACACGAAGAGAGAAATTGTGGGGCGCGTCTGAGTGAAGCCACGGTGGCCAATTGCGTCAGTCGCATAGTACAAATATGACTTGTACATAGAACCCCTAACTCCCTAATTATTAATTGGTTAATTTACTCACACCCACACTCACTCTGTATCTATAGTATTTATTACTGGGTAGTACGTCATTATTGGGATTATTATTATTATTAAAATTATTATTACCATTATTATATTAATATTACGAAATACAGTTTTATGTGTATATATATATAATTACATATGTTGTGATTTTTCTCTCATATTTGCAACGCCCGAAAAATTATCTTGCAAGCACAGTAGAAACGTGTAAAAAATGTTTTTTGTTTCCATAAACATATAAAAAAAAACGAGTAAATAATTTAATTTTTTTTATTTGCCAAGTGATTACTCTTATTACTATCTCGAGTTTTGTGTACTGACATCTTTCTACATCTGATGGTGCTATATATATATATATATATATATATATATATATATATATATATATATTTGCATTGCCAATTAAGGTTTTTTTTTCTTAAAAGAAAAGAAAAAGGAAAAGACGCATTATTTTTCGACGACATATATATTAAAATACGAGATTTGTTCTAAGGATCATACGTTTTATTCTGTTAAATTCTTAAGTAGTTATATCACATATCATCTTATAAAATTTAATTCGTAGTTTAACGCTCTAAAAAAAAGATTCTAAGTCTCTAACGCATATCTATTGTGCTTGCACTATCTTCCTAACTTTTCTAGTCTAAACTATAACTATATCCATTATGGCCAGTGTTTTTTTAATTATAGATACGTATAAAGACTTCATGTGTTTAAGAAGTACGATATATCACACTTTTTATCCGCTGAGAATATATTACACTTATATATCGTTGGCTCGAATGGACTAGTATCATGTATAAAATAAAAATTACAGAACCTTATGGTCTATTTACGACAGTGTACGGACTAGTATTCGATCAACGTCGACGGTCGATCCGGAGAGGGTCTCTCCAGGCTATGACTGATACCATATGGCCTCAAATGATAAATCAGATACTCCAGAACATACATCATGTTCGGTAATACGTAATGGAACGAAACAGCGCTGTCTGAACAGCAATTCAATCCATCCTTGGTATCGTAATAGATATACTTCCAATACCAGAAATTTTTATCTACATGATTTGGTATCAAGTGATGTTCCGGCACAAATGGAAAGAATCTACCGCGCCCGTGAGGATCTCTGGTATCCATCGCGCGTACGCCAACTTTTTCGAGACATTTTCCCATCTCCACGTCTTCAGCGCCGCCGTTATCCGGCCGGCACTTGGTTTTATCGGGTAACCCTTCTTCCACGAACTTGCGTAAGCCTTCCTTACTAAGTACATATCCCGCGCCACCGCTCATGTAACCTTGCTTTACAAAAGGTTTAAATCTGCATCCAAAGTACAATGATGAATTTGGATTGTATGACGACAGCATATATCGTAAATTTTCTACCACCACATATCTGAAAACGCATAAATTATTTTTCCAATTATGTATGTATCTGTACAACGTATTTAGTAGCAACTCTCTTTTGATATTATTATTTGATATTATTTGATAATATTATTCATTTAAATTTATATAAAATAATAAAACTATCAATTTTTATTTAATTTTTCTATTTCTTCCTAATTTATTCAATATTAAATATGTACTTATATTTTTTTGATACTTTAATAATATGAAAAAATATCAATAGCAATTTGTGTTATTTGTTTATATATTGTTTATATTGTATCCTGCAACCAACAGTCTCGCGTAAAGGAATACAATAGTGTCGCTGCGCTTGCTTAGCACCGAGACACTGCTGTGTCTTCTGATATGCCATAAAGATAAAATCGTGAAAAGACTGTACATGCATATCGTGACCATGTTGTAAAGATAACTTATCACAAATATAGAATACACTTACGTATCGTCGTCAGCTTTCATGAACCAATCTACTTTATCTTTGTACTTCTCGTAAGCGTATTTAAACGCTTCTTTGGTTTTAGCCCATAGATTATCTCTACCCTCCTTTACTGGTAACACTACAGTGGGTAAGCTGGCATCTAAAAATGAATAGTACGAATGCATTATACAGAAATCTTACCTGCGTATCACAACCTTTATCTGAAGTTTAAAATACCTTCCGCAGAACTCATAAAAAGAAGTACATTGCAGCGTTTTCCCCATGTCGCTTTCACATGACGAGCTTTGCTCTGATGGTTTTTTGGACCTGTCATAATCCAGCAAAGAACACGTACTTTTCTCGCCATATCCTGAGCTATTCTATCTTCTCCTTTGTGGAAATCTTCATCATCACCATGAAATTTCACTTCTGTTTCGGGCCCAATCTAGAAAATTTAGTGACGAGATTTAAAAATTATTTTAGTCACACCTATACAAAGTGAAATTCACAAATCAAATACCATAGCAAAAAAGTTTTCGAAAAATTAAGTTATTTGTAAAATTGTTTAAGTATTTGAGATAATAAGAATTTACATATGACCAATTACAAGTTATTTAGACAGCCATTAATATTCACAAGTCACTTAAACATCGTCTACAGTTAGTAACGTTAAAACTATTATCTTAAAAAGTATCTACTATTTAAAATAAAAACGCATACTCCTCCTTTTTGTGCCAACCTTCGGTTGGCAGCAGTCGATCGTAAAAATTTATTAAACATATTAAATTTATTAAATTAATAATTAAAATACAACTAACTTCTTTATTTAATTTGTCGAAAACTTTTATTATGAAGAAATTTTGATTCATGAATTTCAGAGCATCCTGTACAGTATTTATATAAACATTTTTTTGCACATATTTAATCAAAAAGAGAATTTTTCATTTTCCTCACAGGTATACATAGAAGTAAAATTATAATATGCGTTTATGTCGACTTTTTAAGTATTGTATCGAATATGTTGGATCGTACGGGAAAGATCATTCCACGTATTATTTCATAATAAATTTATTCTGAATCGAGATAATCCGTGAGAGGACTCGATCTAGATAATTATTACTACGGTTCGCCGGACGATTCAGATCTGAGCAAGACTGCTTCGAGGAAACTCTTTATAATCAATATTAGACAATATATTAGAGATAATATAAACAAATGATCGATGAGACCTGACCAATCGCGTCATTATTAGTATCACGTGGATAGGTCATTCGATTTTTACGGCGCGAGACAAAAGGCGCCGGTCCGTCATTAAACGGCTTTGTTCGACAAAGCTATATGTATATGTGCACACATAGTGGATCCGCTTGTGGTATATATACGCACCATACGTAACATGACATACGGTACCATGGATGGTAGATCCCCAGCATGGGATGAATGGCATAAATGTATTGAAACTATTAAAAGTATTGTAATTTGGAATACAAAAGAAATATGTGTACCTCTGAGTCCATTTCTGAATAATGATGAGGATCTCTAGAAAGATCAGAACCACCTGGTACCCAACTGAACATATGTGGTACATCTCTTGTGGATGCAATGAGCAAACATGCTGATAAAAAACCGAAAACCGTTCCAGCAACGAGTGTCAATATAAATCGCCGTCCACTTCGACCACCTGTGTAAAAAACTAATTACTGTATTTTTTAATTATTATAATTTCACATTTACAAATGACAGATTAATATAAATTAGAACCAAACATAAATTTATTTATACAGAATTAAATGCACGCTTACCATCGAAACTAGGTAGTCGCTGCTGCACCATGATATATAATATAAATTATGACTCAACTCAATAACACTATAAATGCATAAATATAGATTGCAGTCTCCTTCGCATTCATTTTTGCTTGTATAAATGCATGATATGACTTTTATTACTGCCTTCTAAAATATAAAAATATATATTACAATTTTATGATTAATTTAATAAGAAAAGATAGAGTATCGTGTTAGGCCAGTCATGCACTTCTAGTGTACATATATATAGTTATAACTGTGCAATTTTTTACCACACGTAGTGTGTTTATTAACACTTTACATTACAAGTAGCTTATATAAATATACTTGACAAGTTTACTTGAACTAGCTTTAAATAAGAATTGCACTAAATGAACAGCTTTTGCTGCAATATTTACATTAGGTATTAATAAACTTTTAAAGTTTGTTGATAATCTACTCTAAAAATTTATTGATACCTTATCAATATTGGATGGATTATAATTATCACTTACAGGAATAAACAGATAAAAAAATTCTCTTATATTAAATAGTTTTATATTAATTATATTTTTATTTTAGCTCTTCTTTATGTCGCAGATTATTTCACAATATTAAAATTAATATCAATTCCAACATTATGTAATATTTATATTAAAAACATTGATTTAGTATTCAATAACTTCATATACATACCTGATCAACAGGATCTTTCGATAATATGATAAACTCTTCAAGGCCATTTCTAAGCTCATATATTGAACTCGTCACTTATACGATAATGTAGATAATCTTTGCCAAGCACATCTTTTCATGCTTCTTCTTCTATTTTTAGTCAACTAAGATTGAGTGCTAATGAGTTGTATACACAAGCATATTTATAATACAATATCCTCGATTGAGAGGACAGGATCTGAAATAAAAACACAACTTTGAAGACAGCAGCCAGAAACAAGTCTATTTGATAAGTCAAGAGACAAGACTACTTAAAGACAATGCTATATTCACAATACACTTTTTGAGTTATATATGCACTTATGTTTCTGAATGCGTAAATAGTTCATCGGAAGTGTTATTTGATGACGAAATAATGGTTGTCGTGATGCTACATATAATAGCTATTTTACTGATAATGTTAGCAGTGTATATTATGAAATAGATGTTATCTTTAAACAAGCAAAGCAATTTTCTACAAATGCATTGGAGCACAGGTGCGAATATAGAAAATAATTAATAAATATCTGTGATAATGCTATTATTATGCAGGCCGCAATTACGGACACACATACAAATGCGTGCGAAAAGTAGCAGAGCACAGCACGTTCGAAACGTTCGATCGTGGACCAAAAGTGACGCATATTGCATTCTCTTAAAACTAAACTGTCGGCGAAAAAAAGACGGAAAATAAATTGTGCAACGCGCAATAATACAAGGTCGGAACGCGGTATTTTTCATGATAGTCATCGGTTTTCGTTTAACCGTCCATTTTATTCAGCAAAATTACCGAAGCACTCGTTCGTTAGCCCGCGTTTACTAAATTTATTCGCACAGCTGCGCAAATGTTCGCACGATCGTGACAAATATTTACGGCCCGAGGATCACCTGTGCACCTCGCGCGCGTAACGACGAGTTTTCATTCACAAACCGGAGTGCGGATTGTAACGCTCACTGCCCAGCCGCCGATGGTGTGTCGCCGAGGAATGTTTGTCGCGCCTCGTCGCCGTGCGAGTCGCGCGATTCATCGAGGAAAAAAGGTGTTCGGCTCGTCAGCACGTCTCACGGACACTCGTGGATCTAACATGATCTAACATGCGGATCCGATTCCGGACCCTCCTCCTGGAGCTTCCGAGAAGCGCGCGTTATCGCGAAAACGTGTTTACACAGCCACGGGGAACGCCGTCGGTTCCGTGTGCGATCAATTATACGCGATTAAAAGAACCGACATGTCCGCGACTTACATTCCTCTTTCCCCCCGGGATCTACAGGCGACGTGTTCGAGCGACGGTGTCATCCCCCGCGAGCGTTATCGCGAGCGGCGCGTTAACGGACACAAAGGAATCCACCGCAAGTATTCGGCGATAACAATCGGCGATGCGCGCGTCTCGCCCTCCCCCTCGCACGAGTGCGGAGCAGTGCGGAGTGTATGCGTGCGCGCGCGCGCACGTTACGTGCGAATATATACATTACTACGTACGCCCTGATTGGAAGATGCTCGTGCATGGCGTGCACAGAGCCCGTCTCCGTACTCTCCGTCGTCCGCCGTCGTGACGTGACGACCCAGCGACAACCGACGACGCACGGCCATCACGCCGCCGATATTCCCGTATCGCGAGGAATTCTCGGGAGCGCGGGGGAAACAAACCACCACGCGAGCGCGATACAACTTGATTTGATACGACTCAACTTCGCCATCCGGTACACACGTGTGCGGTTGAGAACTCGCGTGTATGCGTGTATAATGGCGTAGGCTGTCGTATCGCGCGGCGTGCCGCGTTTATCTCTTTATATTTATCAGCACATTATCCCGAAATTACTATCAGCATATTTTTCCACGAGCGCGCGTGGAAGGCGGAGTTATTATTTGTCGATTCTCGCATAATTATCGGCGTATCTCGTAATCTATTATTTTCAGGTTGCGGTTAGCAATTACGTTTGATGATTGCCGTTCACGTACGTGTACAGAACCCGCCAAAATTAGATACGCGAAGACACGAAAGATAGCTATCGTGTGATTTCTATCATTAATAAAAGCGCGAATAACAGTTCTTAAAAATCGACGTTATAAAGTTTGATAGAGATCGAACAGCGTAACTGAAATTGGGATAAATTGGAATAATATTAAATAAGGTGTTCCATGTACAAATAAATGCGATCGTGTGTATTTCTGTATGTAAGAATAAGAAAATGACAATAAAAATTGTTTAATAACGATTCATGTAAAAAAAACAATTCTTAACAATTCCACAGAGTTGTACCATTACAACATTATATATATTAGAATATTTAATTATGTTATTATAATATTTAAATTTGAATCTACACAAAAATCTTTTTCTTACGTACAATACACAAATGCAATGTAAACTATTATAATTTAATTGGATAATACAAACTAGAGTAGAAATAAGATTTTAGGACCATATTAATATAGTTGATTTTAATATTGACAAATAAAAATATATATAAGCAAAATAGAAATTTATACATACTTTGTGCAGTCTAGTGCAACAATAAAATTAAAACGGGCTTCTATTATGGTACTTATAGGTATACATAGATTCTTTACATGTCATCGTAGATGTATAATAAATTAAATTATATCCAAGAGAAATGATAAATGCCTTATCGAGTCAGAACATTCTGGTTGATCGTGTGAGTTAAAATGATGCTTTATTGTATCTTGATAATAACAACGTTTCGATCCTAATTCGGATCCTTTTCAAGTCTCGAAGTTCATATAATAATTAAACATTGTTAACATCGTGCTCCCTAGAACACTGTACATTAAGAATAAATTAAAATAATTTTAAAACATTAATACATTACATATATCTTGAATTACTTACATGTAACAAACATAGAAAATAGAATACAAGTTGTTATATCAAGAGTAAAACTACTTCTAATTACAAAATTATACATATAAGTTGACATTGTCATATACGAAAACAAGGCAAAGGATTATTGCAGAGAGAGAAAAAGATATTATTTAGTAAATATAAGCATTTGTATGCTTTTTATTTAACAATTCTATATCCGTTTGTAAATTTAAACTATTATTGTTTTGTTTGTGTATGTAAATCATTTCAGGCATGAGTCTTTTGTTTAAAATCATTTCCTCATCAATAAATATTTTAATATTATCCCGATAAGGCATTTATCATTTCTCTTGGATTTATTCAATCGAGTCAATTTTATTAAGTTATATTTTTTTTAAATTAAATTATATTTTGCGAGTAAATATATAAATAAAATATATGACAACTCTTGCGGTAGTCGATTATACATATGTATGTATGTCTTGAAACGAGGTAAAAATTACAAAAGTATATATATATATATATAATCGAAAATATTTATAATTTTATTGGTCAACGTGTAATAAATTTGCTAATTTTTATCATTTTTGTTTTAAATTTTAAGATACGTATTTGACTACTGGTTAAAACATCTGCCTTACCGACTAAGTAAAAAAATGTATATCATTGGTACTAATCAAGCAAGGATAAAATAGTTTTCTGCAACTAATCGATAATTTAAAAAATTACGTTCTTTATTTAAAATGTTTCAAATCAAAATTCGATTAATATATTCGATATTTCGCTTGATCTTTTTTTACAAAAAAAGTTTATATGTATACAAATTATCCTTGAAAGCAAATCAAAAGCTGCAAAATGATTTCAGTACGCAATTTCTAATTTTTGAAAAACTCAATCTTATATTTAATTTTTAAAAAGTTTTGTTTCGAATTTTTCTTGTTTGTCAACTTTTTTAATCTACCGTAATTGCTTGAAGTATTTGTCGAATCGCGGCGTTTTGAATTTGAACCTAAAATTGATATGGCCGCACTGTGTATGGAAGATTGACAGTGACGAATGA